TATTCGAACACTTCACGAAAACGCTATTAGGTGGACTCAATCGATCAAAATCCGATTACCGGCGCGCATTCCCCCATTTCCCAGATCGATACTTATACCCTAACTCGGGAGTGGCATTCTCTGACCAAATCGCGAAACGCAAATAGACATTTCATAAGGAATTGAAATTTATGTTAGGCTCATTTCAAAAGAATGTTCGGTCTTCAAATCGTAAAAATAAAACACAGTAGATAGGGAAAACATTCTTTACCTGTTGAACGTCCCCATGTACGGCCTCTCTCCATCACTTCTTCTTCTTTCAGGGAAGTTCCGAAAACCACCGCTCATCCTGGAGAGTCATGTAATAGAAGTAAAATTTGGTGGAAAAGGGTCTGGGCAAACCTCGACGGAGTTGGTCCAGGGCGGCGAGGCCCATCGATCGTACATGTCTATAAATCAAGTAAAGCACACATTAGAGCCTCGAAATCAGTCTAAAATAACACTCCTATCAACAGAGAAAGGAAAGTGTGGATCAAACTTTCCAAGCAAGGGGTGGAAGAGCAGACGACTATCAACATGTGAGATAAGAAGAACAAAACAAAATAGACTGTAAGTACTAAATCCAAACTCACAATTCGTTCCTTGGGTGTGGTTGTTTTATTCTCTTTTTTACCTGAAACAAGCGACAGATACACAGCATGAGCCAGAAGGTCGCAAACTGTTCAATAGTTATAACAAATGGAGATTAAGTCTCCACAGTACTCACATATGGAATGCTCACAAATGACTATCCCACTCATTCGGACTCTTTGAAAAAAAAACGCGTTATCGCACAAACCAGCGCATTCAAAAGTGCGTTCATACTTTGCGGTAGCGACCACCAGCCTTCAGGAGTAGGGAGTATGGGGAAGTAGGAGCGAGCAGTCCGCTGGATAAGGCGTCGTGAAATCGCGGCGTGTGCAACCGCACCGTACTACAAATAAATCGTAATTAAATCACATAATTCTATGGTTTATCAGTTGTACGGTGCGACTGGATACGCCGCTTAATCCAGTATTTGCACCTCCTAGTTCCCCATCCTCTACCAGAAACAAGCCACCGTCATACTACCCCACACACTCTTGGACGCTGGATGGAGGCACTATCTAAATCCTTTGACGCCATGGCCCGTTACGAGCGAAGTGGTTCAAAAGTATAGCTCGTTCGCGCTGCCACGCCTCGGTTGTTCCGAACAACACTCTAGCCCCATCATGATTTTCTCATATGTAAAATTGAAAAGTCAGAACCCTCACTCCTCACGGAAAGCAGAGCAGCTTGGTCGAGCATGTTGATCGGTTGACTTTTCGATTCGACTGTTTTCGGTCCTCGAAGTAGCGGAGAACGAGAACGTGACCGAGATCGACCATGAGAAACATGAACACGCCGCATGCTGGAATGACTAAACTGCATTAACAGAGTTCAATTATCGGAATATGGTGCTGTCCCGGAGTCTCATTACTCATCTGAATGTGTAATAACAATGTGAAACTCCAAAAGTTTATTCCAAAAAACTCAAAAGACAGCAAAAGTCTCAAAAGTTTTTTAAAATATCTTATCTTGCGATATTTCGGTGCGTAGCACCTTCCTCAGGCCCAAATATCCCGACAAATTGGGCCCGGATCATGAAGTATGAACGCGGTCTTGGGAGGCTATTGCCCCTACAATATGATGGTGTCATTTCCTCTCAGGCTATATTTGCCCCCCCCCCAA